CCCCAAAACCCCAAAACCCCAAAACCCCTAAATTCACCCTTAGTTATAATATTAAATCTGAACCAAGATGTTCCTCCTCTCAAAACGGAAAGGTATTGACCAAGCCCAAGCTTTATTTGTAGGAGTTTTGGGATTTTAGCAGAAGGAATGACTCCAAATTATTTTAAACGGGATTTTGAGAAGGAAAATTAAATTAATTGGGAGATTTAGAGCTTTGATTTTTTGAGAGTTTTGGGATAAAGAAGGAACAGTGTGTGAAAAGTTTAGTTTTTAATTTTTTTGAAATTCTTATTTTTAATTTGTTATTTTAATGATTCTTTGCAATATTCTGAAGTAAATCTGCAAAAAGATTAAAGCATGAATGGTTAATAGAGTGTACTTGAACTATACGGTTCAATTTTAGTAATTTAAAAATTACTTTTTACTTTTTCTGAAACAATTTGCACAAATGTTAAAATAAAGTAGAATCTCATATAAACAATAATTTAAGCATATCTTATTCTGAAAATTTACTTAAAATGAAAAATCTGTGTTATTTTAGCTGTATTTCTCTCAAGACCAGCACAATTCTCGAAGCTTCTTACATTCTCCAATGTGGCCAAGTTTAATATTCTATAAATATAGTGCTTGCAACAGCAAGTATACTCGGAACAACTTACTGCTTTCTTGCATGGAAATGACACAACACGAGATCAAAAGTAGCTGATCTTGAATATGGGCACCTAAAACAAGACTTCCAAGACTCTGTACAGCAAACAAAACAGCCAGAAGAACCACCTTTAGAGACAGGGGATATTCTTTTATTTGAGCATAAATGCCCAAATGAACTCTATCCCAGTGAAGTAATTAAGTGCTACACAAAGAAATCCCTTAAATATCTCCTAAAAAGAGATGAACACTATTCCGGCATTGGCTTTACCTTCAAAACTCCCAAAGGCCTCTACATAATCTATCCCCAATACCAAAATACCCAAATCACCCCATACCCAACCTTCCTATCCCAGCCAAATATCGGCAAAATCACCTCAAGAACCCTCCAAAACCCCCCAGTCGACATCTCCAAATCCACCCTATCCTTCCTCACAAAGCTCCAAAAAGTCCAAAACTCCACAAAACCCCAAGGCACTTCCGACAGATTCTCCGACAAAATTACCGAACAAATCTCCTCTGCCAAATCCTCCCTCCAACTTTCACTCATAGTCCAACTCTACTACCAGCACCTTGGAATCCTCCGCACAAATCCGTACAAAGGGTCCCTAAAACCCCACTCCTTCGACCACGATCAGCCCCAGATCTTCTATAAAGGCTATTCCTTTGGCCCAAGAGTTTGTCTGAGGAGTTAAGTGAGTGAAGAAAAGTAGATTGTAGTTCAGTTTTTTGGATAAATATTTTCTCCATACTCTAAGGAAAAATTTAAACAGCGACAAACAGTCGAGTTAAAAACTAGTTTTGGTATTATAAAGACAGTGTTGGTTCAAATAAAATATAAAATGGCCAATTGCAACCTGTCTATATATATATGGGGTTTTGGGGTTTTGGGGTTTTGGGGTTTTGGGG